TTGATATGGATGCAGTAGAGGAAGAGAAATGTGCCCTGGAATAGCATACCAGAGTAATTGCAGTGAAATTGGCCATAGAGAAAGCAACATCAAATCAGGCAGGTAAGGATAAAAGCATCTTGGAGTCTTCCTTTGCGGAACAGCTTTCTCATGCTACCGAAGAGATAAGAAGCTTGAAGGCTTTGTTGGATCAAAAGGAGGCTTACGCTGGTGAACTTGTGCAATCACTTGCTCAGACCCAAGAAGACCTCTGTGAATCTTCAGACAAGATTCAATTTTTGGAAAGATCCTTGCCCCTCTGCAAGCTTCTTATGATGCTGCCGTGGTTGAGAGAGATGAGCTAAGGGCCGATATCGAACAATGGGAGAAAGACTACGAGGCTTTTGAAGACAAAGCAACTGTTGATGTAAGTTGGGCTTATTTGAATGCCCGGCTTGACACATTGACGGAAATGGGCCAAGAGAATTTTGACTTAGAGGTTGAAATTTCCAAAACCAAGGAGATGATTGAAAAGTCTCGGCAAATTCAAAATTTTTCATCACCTGAAGTTGAGATCCCAACGGGTGACGAGATCGTGCCTGATGAATCTTCTACTCAAGCCTCGCCATCTCAAGCCGCCCCTTTTGCTGATGAAGATAATCCCCCCAGTGTCTAGTGAAAGAGTTTATTGAACCCTGTTCCCCCCTATTTTTTGAACAATTGGTGGTTACCCCCGGTCCCATTTTGGGGGTTATGTTTTTGGTGATAGCAAGTCCCCAAGCCTTTTTGGGGCTTTTTGTAAAAATGACAATCAGTTTATGACTAAGTTTATACTTAGTTTAACTTGATATTATAAAGTTTTTGGTTTAACTTAATCTTTTCGAGTTTCTGTTATACTCTTTTTGCCTTGTTTTTTTTTTAAATCCAAGGTCTTGTTTTTAATTAGCAGATTTTTGTCTTACCCTTTTGACTTTTTGCATTTTTAGAAATGCTTTATTAATTTCATGCATCTTTGAATCAAACATGAACTACAAGAGGGCCATTTTATTAATTCCAAGGGTTTCTTTATGACCCATGGCTAAATACTGCCTTTAACCTAAACATCGTAAGATTTTGAGATCTATATCCACGAGTGTACTCTTTATAGGTTTTTTGATCAGGCTTGTGTAATTGGCTCGTGACTTTGCTTTGAACTTGATATTTGATGAGTAGACTTTTAGGCTTGACTTGAAATTTTCTTGCAATTCAGTCTTCTTTGCCTTACATATATCATATGTACATTATATAGTCCCCCAAGTGTTTGAGCTTTGAAGTATGAAATCTAGAGCACTTGATTATTCCTTCCATGCGGTCCTTTTCCTGAAAAGGAAAAACATATGGGACTCGGAGGTACGATTTTAGATGAAGACTGCTTAACCCATTTAAATTTCCATCAGAATAGTTGTAACCCTAGACCGGAAATTATGTTCTTTCCACGTGTCTTTCAGGTCGTAATTGATCATTTAGTGCGGGCTAGCTTTTTGCCTATCATCTTAAATCGTTAGTAAGATTTTAATAAATCAAAAATAAAAATCGTTAGTGAGGATACCTGCCCGCGAGTATTTACTTTCCTTAGAAGTAGTATCTCTTTAGATGAACAACATTCCAATTTGAAGGTAGGATCTTGCCATCTAATGTTTCAAGCTCGTATGCTCCTTTTCCTGCGATACCATGAATCTTATAAGGCCCTTCCCAAGTTGGACTTAACTTTCCTGCATTTGCTGCTCTTGTAGATTGGAAAACTTTCTTGAGAACGTAGTCCCCAATCTTGAAGTATCTGAGACGAGCTTTCCGATTGTAATACCGCTCCATAACTTGTTTTTGTGCTGCCATCCTTATTAATGCAGTTTCCCTCCTTTCTTCAAGTAAATCCATGTTTACCCGCATCTCTTCTTCGTTTGATTCCTCAGTAGCTTGTGTATATCTTGTACTTGGTTCCCCTATCTCAATTAAGGCTTCAGCTCTGTATACAAGTGAAAATGGTGTTTCTCCCGTACTTGTTTTTGCTGTTGTTCGGTAAGCCCATAAGACTCCAGGTAATATTTCTGGCCAATTGCCTTTAGAGTCTTCTAGTCTTTCCTTCAAGTTGTTGATAATGACTTTATTTGTTGATTCAGCTTATCCATTACCCACCGGATGGTAAGGAGTTGAAGTAATCCTTTTAATTTGCCAACTTTGGAAAAATTTTGTGATTTGTGTACCTATGAATTGCGGGCTCATTATCACATACGATTTCCTTTGGCACCCCGAATCGTATATGATATTCCGCCAGCTGAAGTCTCTGACCTCTTTTTCTCGTACCTGTTTGAAATCTCCCGCTTCTACCCACTTAGTAAAATAGTCAGTGAGTACTAATAAAAATCTTACCTTGCCTTTGGCTTGTGGTAGTGGTCCTACGATATCTATCCCCTACTTCATAAACAGCCATGGTGCAACGACTGAATGTAATAATTCAGCTGGTCGATGCATGTTGTTACCATATCTTTGGCACTTGTCACATTTTGTCACAAAATTTTGCACGTCTTGTTCCATTTTTGGCCAATAATAACCGGCTCTAATCATGGTTTTTACCAAAGATCTTCCTCTTGCATGATTTCCACAATGTCCCTCGTGTATTTCTCTCATCACGTACTCTGTTTGAGAAGGTCTGAGACATCTTGCTAGAGGGCCACCGAAATTCTTACGATATAAATTGACTTGTCTTAAACAGTACGGGCTGCCTTTTGGCGAAGTGCCTGAGCCTTTTTCTTATCTTCAGGAAGTATTCCATACTGCAAAAAATTGGCAATTTTATTTCTCCAATCCCATGTTAAATTATTGTAATTTACCTCGTTTTTATCTTGATCAAGCATGGAAGCATTTTCTACATTTGTTACTTCTGCAGCAGACGCAAGATTAGCTAGAGCATCTGCCTCGACATTTTCTTCCCTTGGTATCTGCATGACTTTCCAAGTTTGAAATTGCCTGACCAAATCCCGTGCCTTTTCTAGGTACTGTTGCATTCTCGCCTCTCTGGCTGTATAAGTCCCCTGCATCTGGTTAACCACGAGCTGTGACTCGCTTTTAATTATGACTTGCTCTATTCCGAACTCTCGTGCCAATTCTAAACCTGCAATCACAACTTCGTATTCTGCCTCATTATTAGTAATATGATGATATTTTATGGCTTGTCGTATAGTTTCTCCCGTAGGTGGTACCAGAACAATGCCCAGACCTGCTCCTTTTACATTCGATGAACCATTTGTAAATAAGGTCCAAGTACCTGGATTAGACCCATTCAATATCTGCAGTTCTTTTTCTAGCTCCAGCTGCATTCCCTGACTAAAATCTACTAAAACTTGCGACTTTATTGCAGTTCTTGGTTGATATGCTATGTCATATTCACGTAAGTCTATAGCACATTTGGCTAGTCTACCCAATAACTCTTGTTTATGCAGTATGTTGCGTAAGGGATAAGCAGTTACTACAGAGATAGGATGACATTGAAAATAAGGTCTTAACTTCCTAAATGCCATAATTAATGCGAGTGCAATTTTTTCTAGATGAGGATATCGAGTCTCAGCATCTAATAATGACTTACTAACATAATAAATCGGAGATTGTTTACCTTGGTCCTCTCGAACTAACACAGCACTTACCGCTACTTCTGAAACAACAAGGTAAATAAGTAGTTTTTCCCCATCTTTTGGTTTTGCGAGCAATGGTGGATTTGATAGGTATGCTTTCAAATTTTTAAGCGTCTGTTGACATTCTTGAGTCCATTAAAATTGATCTTGCTTTTTTAGAGCTGAAAAGAACTTGAAGCATTTTTTTGATGACTTGGAAATAAATCTTTCCAACGCAGCTATTCTTCCCGTCAGTCGTTGTACTTCTTTTTTATTCGCCAGTGTATCCGGAATTTCTTCAATAGCTTTAATCTGCACGAGATTTACTTCAATACCACAGTTAGAAACAAGAAATCTCAAGAACTTACCTGACGAAACCCCAAACGCGCATTTTTCAGGGTTTAATTTCATATTAAATTTACGAAGAATCTGAATGGAATAGGTCAGGTGTTGAATTTGATCCCCTGATTGTTGTGACTTGACCAGCATATCATCTATATAAACCTCCATGGTTTTCCCTAGATATTCCTAAAACATTTTGGTCACCAGCCTTTGATATGTGGCCCCAGCATTCTTGAGACCGAATGGCATCACTTTGTAACAGTAAGTCCCCCTGTCTGTTATAAATGAAGTCTTTTCTTCATCCATAGGATCCATTTTTATTTGATTATACCCTGAATATGCATCTAAAAAGCTCAATAATTCATGTCCTGCAGTAGCATCAATTAGTTGATCTATATGCGGTAATGGAAAAGAATCTTTAGGGCAAACTTTATTTAGATCAGTATAATCTACGCAAACTCGCCACTTACCATTCTTTTTTACCACTACAGTATTAGCCAACCAATTTGGATACGTTACCTTGCGGATAGACCCAATTTTTAAAAGTTTCTGCACCTCATCTTGAATCACCTGATTCTTGAAGGAGCCTTGCTTCCTTTTCTTTTGTTTAACAGGTGGGTACGATGGATCTTCATTTAATTTGTGAGTCATTACCTCCGGGAGTATACCTGTTATATCTGAATGGGACCAAGCAAAGCAGTCTACGTTAGCTTTTAAAAATTCAGTCAACTTACATTTTATTTCGTGGCTGAGGTTGGTCCCGATGTAGACTTTTCTGTCAGGCCAGGGTGCAAATAATACTACTGCTTCTAATTCCTCGATCGTTGTTTTGATGTTTTCATTTTCTTCTGGTTTTTGGATGGTGTCAGGCCTCGAGTCTACATCTGTTCGCCCATGCCTAGTTGAGGTTTGCGTTGTAGTATCCTCAACTTGGTTCTGTGATTGGTATTTGTCTTCGCTTTTTGCGCTTGTATCTGCTACCGAATTAATGCTTCGAGACACTTGTTGGTCACCACGTATTTGCCGTATTCCCCATTATGAAGGGAATTTGATAACTTGATGCAAAATGGATGGAACAACATCCATCTCATGTATCCATGGTCTACCAAGAATCATGTTATAAGCCATATCCATGTCTACTACTTGAAGTTTGGTGTCTTTGACTGCTCCTTTTGCGAATGTGGTGAGTATTATCTCTCCTTTTGTCACGACGCTCGAGTTGTCAAAACTGGACAAGGTATGAGCCATGGGTATCAACTTATCATCAGCTTGCATCTCATTTACCACTCTTAACAGAATGATATTCACGGAACTACCTGGATCAATCAGGACTCGTTTCACATTAGTGTCATGTACAAGTAAAGATATTACCAGTGCATCATTATGTGGGGTTATCACGCCATCTGCATTTGCATCATCAAATGTAATACTTTCTTCCTCCAAAACCTGTCGAACCCGTTTCCCGTGTGTAACTGTTATTTTCGATACCTTCCTCGGTGCTGTATATGTTACGCCATTGATTTCTTCTCCTCCACTTATGACATTAACCGTCCTTTTTGGTGAAGGGGGTTTTGGCGGCTCCTGCCTATTTTTCATATATGCATGATTTCCCTTTTCACTAAATAATTCAATCAAATATCCTTGTTTCAATAAATGTTCTACTTCACATTGCAGCAATCTACAATCCGCCGTTTTGTGACCGTGATCGTTGTGAAACTCGCACCAAAAATCAGGATTTCGCCTGTTCGGGTTTGATCTCATTTCTTTTGGCCAGCGTACCTTGTCTCCCATGCTCCTTAAAACGGCCACCAACTCGGATGTGCTAACATTAAAACTGTAACCGCCGATCTTTGCCTTCGAGCTTTTGTCATCATCTCGCGTCTCTCGCGTGTTTCGTTCTTTTCCGAACCTTGATGATGAACCTGACTCTCTATCTCTTGATCTATGATCGTACCTTGTGTTTTCCTGTTTTGAACGTGAGTCTCTTCCTGCTGGTCCCATGTATGGCTCGTACTTGTTTTTTCTGGACCTTTTTTTTAGTTTCAGCTCGCCTTAAACTTATCCTTTCATCTCTTCGAGATTGAATGATGGTATCTTCTTCTATCCGCAGCTTCGTACTATATCTGTTATAAACATCATTCCAATTTGTTGCTGGAAATTCACGTAGACTTTCCTTGAGTCTCCTCGTGGCTTCTGAACTTTTTTCATTTAGATTGCTGGCAAATGCCATCGCTGCCCAGTTATCTGGTGCACGTGGTAACATCATCCTCTCACGTTGGAATCTGTCCACGAACTCCCTGAGCAGCTCTGTATCCCCTTGCTTTATTTCAAAAATGTCCTCCATTCTTTTCTCAACTTTTTGAGCTCCCGAGTGTGCTTTGATGAATGAATCTGCAAGTTCAGCAAAAGAATCTATAGAATTTTCGGGTAAAAGAGAATACCATATTAATGCTACCTTAGTGAGTGTTTCTCCGAATTTCTTGACCAGTACTGACTCAATTTCCTGCTTGGTCAAGTCATTCCCTTTTACTCCGGTTGTGAATGAAGTTACGTGATCCCTTGGATCAGTTGTTCCATCATATTTTGGAATATCGGGCATCTTGAATTTCTTCGGAATCGGAAGGGGAGCAGCACTTGGCTTCCAAGGTTGTTGTGAGTACTTGTCCATATCTATTCCCTTGATTACAGGCGACACTCCAGGTATTTGCTCTATGCGGTCGCTCTGCTCCTTGAGCTGTTTCTGCAAAGTTAGTACTAAATTTTGTAAATCAAAATTTACTGGGTTACCTGACTCTCCATCACGGGATTCGCTTGGAGTTCCTCCACTGCCCGAGTTAACGAGTCCCGAGCGAGGATTTTCTAAGGTGTAGTTGTTTAGAGTTGATGTTGGCGGCACGGCTGGCAGCTGGTTTGCGAAGGCCTCAAGAGCATTGCTGACCTGTTGAGCTATTAACTTTTTCAAAGCTTCATTAATAGCTTCATCATTTTCAAATTTATCATTCACATTTTACCGAGACCCATCAGGAGTTCCTTCTCGAGATTGTCGAGGAGAGTTTCGTGGGGAAGGGACCAGAGTTCCACTTCCTTGCAGATTCTCTTGTTGTTGATGGTCTCCTTGATTGTTGTCATTGACATTCGACATGATTGATTTAACAAAAAATTCGAATCAGAAAGTAATAGATTATCAGATTCCCGGCAACGGAACCAATTTTTTAACCAGAAAATAGGAAATTCGGGTCAAAGCTTAATTTTGAGAAGAACTCGGGTTACTGATAATCAAGAAAGCTAGATTGAAATAATTAGACTTGCAATAAGAAAGCAATAAGAATGCATAAAAGTAAATGTATTTCAGTAGTAGTTCAAACGTGTCTCTACAAGTGATATTTTCTTCCCTTTTATAGGGAATTTCTTAATATAACGCCTACTCTCATTAATGACTGAACATTAATGACTAGTAATATCATTAATGTAACGTTACAATAGGTAATCGTAACTGTTGCGTGAAGATTATGTAATGTATGGCTCATTGATGGAAGATCTTTGAATCTTCCCTTTATTTTGCCTTGGTTCATTCTGATCGTGTCTCTTCAACTTCTTAATTAGACTGAGGTTCCGCATCTAATTGTCTCGTGGATATGCTGTTTCGTTCCTATTTGTTTCGTACCTCTTTGTAAATTTGTGACCAGCTGTCATGTTTCTATTGCTCCACATGGATCGCCTTTTCATCAGAAATATTACACGTGTGAAGTCTATTTTTTACCAATACAGATGGACCGTTTTTGCCAAAAGAATTTTATGAAATTGGCACTTTTTTAATATATAAGTCAGGTCGAAAAATCACAAGAATAAATACTATTCTCAGGTAATTGAATCGCCAGACAAGGCAAGAGCGGTCCAGGACACAAAGCATTTAGCATTCACGCAGGGTCTGGGGAAGGGTCGCACCCCAAAGGGTGCGGTATAGACAGCTTACTCTATTGCAAGCATTAACGGCTACTTTCATTGCTTGAACCTGTGACCTATAGATCACAAGGAGACAACTTTACCGTTGAATCGCCTGTCAGGTTAGGCTTATAATATTTTAAGAATAATTCACCACGTTTTGTTTTTGTTATGTTTGTGAGGTGTGACTTTACCCCCTTTTTGTGTCTACTCGACAGAAATTTGAATTAGTCGAATTAATGAATTTTAGATACCGTAAAAGGAAACTAAAGGATGAATGTGGGTGAATAAGATATTTTCTTTTGATTTATGGGACATTTAACATATTTAATAGGGAGTGGGCTCAAACAGATGTGCAAAACAAGGACTGCAATGGGTACCTACAGGTCCTACACACACATATGGGGCTGAGAAGATATATATTTCCTCAAATTAAACACCACCTCAGAAATCACAATTGCAAGTGTATGCTTTAATTAACAAATTAGACCCACGGCATATACACATATGGCGGTGATTAAAATATCTGGCGTTTGTTTATTATTTTATATGCTACTTTTGTTTTGTGAGTCTCTGCTTTTCCAACCTTTCAATTCTCAGGTTTTACTGGTTCTAAAGATTTTAATTAGTCATAATCCAACAAAAAGAATGTAGAGACGCAGATTTATTTTCTTGTCGCTTTACCATTTACTGTTATTTCCCTCCTTAACCCAATAGTGACCCTAAGGATAGAACTTAGGATTCGTTTGGTAGGATGTGTAACAGAAAAATGTATAAATTGGTTTTTGTCATTATTAATCTCTTTTTTGGTACAGTTTTTCAACTGATGTATTACTAATGCAAGTATTAGTTATATAATCGATTTGATATTATATAACTAATAGTACATAGCAAATCAGGGTATTAGCAATACCAAGGCTATTAATGCATGCATTAGCATGGTAAAAGATAAAATTATCCTTAAAGCTAAAGAATATGGAGAGCATTTTTATAAAAAACTAAATTTTTTAAAAATTATGTGATACACCACACCAAACAGTGGATAAGAAAGAATCTTTGCATAACTAATGCTTGTATTACTAACCCATGCATTACTAATACACCTTATTTACGAAACAACCCCTTAAGGCATTGCACCACTCTAAGTTTCAAACTAGTGATTACGTTACTAGAGTGTTCCAGTAACGACCCGACCGGTCGTTTTGAGCATTTGCACTTTGCTCGCCAATTCTCGGGCATGACTAGCCCCGTATGATGTATTATGAGTTAAGAAAATCGTCGGTTTTGATTTTCGGATTAATCGGAATAGATATGGAAGAATGAATCTCAACGTGAAGCTTTAAATTCGAAAGGTTTGACCAAGTCTGGACTTTTTAGTATTCAATCTAGGATTTGAATTTTTGTGATTTGGTTAGATCCGTTACGTGATTTTTGACTTGGGAGCGCGTCTGGAATATGATTTGGAGGTCCGTTGTAGAACTAGGCTTGAATTGGCGAAATTGGAAAATTGGCGTTTCTCGGTCGGCAGTGAAAATTTTGATATCGGGGTCGGAATGGAATTCTGGAAATTGGAGTAGGTCCGTAGCGTTATTTGTGACGTGTGTGCAAAATTTCAGGTCATTCGGACGAGGTTTGATAGGTTTCAGCATCGTTTGCGAAATTCGGAAGTTTAAAAGTTCTTAGGCTTGAATCCAAGGGTGATTTGGTGTTTTGATGTCATTTTTAGTGTTCTGAAGGTTTGAATAGTGGTATATGACTTGTTGGTATTTTTGCTTGAGGTCCCGAGGGCCTCGGAATGAATTTGGATGGTCAACGGAAGGATTGGAACTTGGTTTGAGCATTTGAGTCTGCTGCTTTTGTCATTTCCGCACCTGCGGATAAGGGACAGCAGGTGCGAGATTCGCAGAAGCGGTTATGTAGCACAAGTGCGCAGCAGGGGTCGCAGGTGCGGTTTGGTCACCGCATCTGCGATGACCGCAGGTGCGGTCAGGCAACCGCAGAAGCGAAAATGCCCTTTTAATGAGATTTCGCAGAAGCGGAGAATTTTGCACAGATGCGTAATGGGGACTGCAGATGCGGAAGTGCTGGGCAGAATGTATATAAAGGCTCATTCACGAATTTTTGGTCATTCTTCACCATTTTTGGCCGGGATTGGAGCTTTGGGCAGTGATTTTCAAGAGGAATCAAGGATTTTCAGTGGGGTAAGTTACTTAAGCTTTATTACTTGTGTTTATGATGATTTTTTCATTGTTTAATCATGATATTAGAGGGAATTAGGGGTGAAATTGAGGGTTTAGGGCTTGAGTCTAGGAGAGTTTTGATTGAGGATTTGAAGGACCATTTGAGGTCGGATTTTGATAATTTTGGTATGTATAGACTCGAGAGTGAAAGGAGTTCCTAGTTTTGTGATTTTTGTCGGATTCCGAGACGTGGGTCCGTGGGCCGGGTTTAGGTGAATTTTGGGATTTTCGATTGAATTGATAGTTCCGTTTGGAATTGATTCCTTGGTATATGTTGATTGCGTTGTATTGCTTTTGGTTAGATTCGGGACGTTTGGAGGACGATTCCAAAGGCAAAGGCGTAGCGGAGTAGGATTTGGCTTGGTTTGAGATAAGTAACGCTTCCAAACTTGGCTCTATGGGTTCGAAAGCCCGAACTATGTGTTATATGATTAAAGATTGAGGTGACGCAAATGCCAAGTGACGGGCGTGTGGGCGTGCACCGTGAGGATTGTGGCCTGGTTCATTCCATGGCACCACTTAGTAATTCTTTCTTGTTGATATTTGTGTTGTGATTATGTGATTAAGGAAATGAACTGT